ATTAATAATATTAATAAATAAGTCAATCGATAACATCATAAGTTGATCGATAACAAAATGTTGCAAAGAAAAATGTATCGATAAAAAAATATTTTTTGAATAAAAGTGGACAAATATAGACAAATAGATCGATAACAAAATGTTTCACATAAAAAAGTTATCGTTGAAAATATTTTCTATAGAAGTGTAGATAGTTTATGGAAGATAATCGATATCAACATTTACTTGATTGATAACATGCAAAGAAGTTATCGATTTTCTTTAGAAAAAAGTTGGTCGATAAATATATATTTTTATACCCTCTACCATAGTATGGGGGGTATATTAATTTTGTCATTCCGTTTGTAACTCATTGAAATATTCATTTCCGACCCTATAAAATATATATATTCTTGATCAGGGTAAAATTCTAAGACGATCTGGCCATGTCTGTCCGTCCGTCTGTTGTAATCACGCTATCTTCTGAAGGAATTGCGATAGGGTGCTGAAGTTTTGCATAGGTTCGTCTTTTGTCTGCAAGCAGGTCAAATTCGAAGATGGGATATATCGGTCCACGTTTAGGCATAGCTCCCATATAACAGTACCCCCCAATTTTCGGTATTTTACGGTTCTTGAGCGCGTTTTTCATCCGAATGCGCTGAAATTTGGTACATTGGGTTCTTATTGGGTACTAATGTCTCAACAAAAAATTATAAATATAGGTCCACTTTCCGATAGCCCCCATATAACGGTACCTCCTAATTTTCAGTATTTTGAGGGTCTTGATCGTATTTTTCCACCGAACTGGCTGTAATTTAATATTTTGAGTTCCTAATAGGTACCAAATCTCTCCACAAAAAATTAAAAATATAGGTCAATTTTTTCAGATAGCCCCCATATAAGGGTACCCCCCAATTTTCGGTATTTTGGGGTTCTTGAGCGCGCTTTTTAATCGTATAACCGTAGTCGTATATGGTAACAAATCTCCCTACTAAAAATAATATTCGCCCCTTTTTTGGGGGGTATAGGTACACATGTGGTATGTTCCCAACATTTTTATTTCAAGTACCTGTCAGTATATCTATGGTGGAGGGTATCTAAACTTCGGCCCGGCCGAACTTAACGCTTTTTCACTTGTTTAATATAAAAATGTGTCGATAACAATGTTTTTTTTTTTTTTTTTTGACATAAAAATCGATCGATAACAACAATGTATATAGAAACATGATCGATAACATAACATTCTATAGAAAAAATTTTGGATATCGTTATATAAAAAATGCAATTAAAAAATATTTCATTATAATTAAAGTCATATAAAATTGCTTTAAAATCCGCTAAATGATTTCCGTGGAAATTAATCAACAACAACAACAATTAAAATAAACAAACGATAATGAATTAATAATTTTATTTTTTTTCGCCAGCCGCAAATAATTGTACTCCTTTTCAAGGTGTGTGCGTGTGTGACTCATACCCACCATATGCAACCCAAAAAACAACAAAAACCATTGTTTCAGCTTTTTGCATTTCTATGCATAAAAACAACAACAACAACGATGATGACCACAAAAAATTGAATTTCTTTTGTTTGTCATTGCCATACGCAATGACTTTGCAAGCTTGCATCCAGTCAGCCAACCAACCAACCGATCAACCATCCTCCTATCCAGGCAACCCACCTAAGTTCTTTAGGAAGACAGCCAGCCGTTAATGACAACAATTGATTGTGTAAACAATGGGTTTGAGTGTTGAATGGAATGGAGTGGAGTGGTGACGACCATTACCATATTTGTTTGTTCGGAGCAGCTACCTGAACCCACCTCAACAAAGAAACCAAAACGAAGACAGACAGACAGCACACGTCAATGTCTCATCGCTGGGACCATCATCATTTCTTCATTAAAGACGAAAAACTAAGGGTCTGATTAAATACGAATTGAAATGAGGGGGGTTGGGAGGGTCGGGGAGATGTTTGAGGTTGTAAGACCAACAACAACAATAGTCAGCCAAATTGAATAAACCAAAAAAAAAGGATGAAGAAGATGGCACGAAGGTACACGAAAAATTCATAGAGAGGAGTCACAATAATGGAAACGGTGTTATCGATTGGATTCTCCTTATAGAAAACGAAGTTATCGGTCAGTATTTCTGAAAAAAAAAATATTGTTAGTGAATAGCATTTCAATAGAAATTTGAAAACCAAATTTGGATATCGATGAATTTGTATATCGTTTTTTTTAATCGATAAATTTTGATATAAAAAATGTTGTTATCGATTTCATTTTCTATTGGAAAATAATATTATCGATAATATTCCCAAGAGAACATATTGTTTTCGACAATAATTTGTATAGAAAACATATGTTATCAATCATCACTTATTTAAAGAATATTGTTATCGATAACATATTTTTTTTTAGAATTGAATGTTTATTTAGAGAAAATTGTTATCGATAACTTTTTTTTAGAATTGAATGTTTATTTAGATACTATTGTTATCGATACATTTTTTAATTGAATGTTGTTATCGGTCGTATCATCCACCGACCAACTTTTCTATTCTTTCGCATTAATGTTATTATCGATCGGATTTTTTTTTTAAATATTTTATTATCGATCATCCTTGAAATATACAATGTCGTTATCGATCATAATTTCTATTGAAATTATTTTTATTGACTAACTTTTCTACAGAAAAAAGTTTCTACTGATCAATTTTTCTATAAAATGTTCTGTTATCGATCTATATTTATTTTGAAAAATCTTGCTATCGAAAATATTTTTCTATGTTAAATATTGGTTAAATATCGGTCATATTATCGACAGATATTTTTGTTTTTGTCCCACCTTTACATAGTAAATGTTGTTGTCGACGAATCAATCTATAGTTAATGCTGTTATCGACAATCATTCTGTAAGGTAAATGTTGTTATCGTTTATATTATCAACATAAAATTTTGTTATCAAACAACATGTCTGTAATTAATTTTGTTATCGATTATCTTTTTTAAAGGTTAAATGTTGTTATTGATTAAGTTCTCTGTTATAAATGGACCTATCGATCAATGCTCTATTGTTAATTATGTAATCGATCGATTTTTTTTATACAAAATGTTGTTATCGATCGACTTTTTGACAGAAAAATTTGTTATCGATAACAATTTCTTTGGTATATTTTGTTATCGATAATATTGTTTATAAAAAATAAAGTTATGGATCACATATTCTGTAGATTGTGTTCTCATCGTTAATTGTTCCTAGCGAATATGTTGTTATCGATAACATTTTGTTGTTATCGATAACGTTTTCTGTTATAAATGGCGTTATCGATCAATATTCTATTGATAATTATGTAATCGATCGGCTATTTTATAGAAAATGATGTTATCGATCGACTTTTTGACAGAAAATGTTGTTATCGATAACAATTTGTTTGGTATATTTTGTTATCGATAAAATTGTCTCTAAGATATAAAATTATCGATCACATATTTTGTAAATTGCGTTATCCTAGTTAAGTGTTCCTAGCGAATATGATGTTATCGATAAATTTTTGTTGTTATCGATTACGTTTTCTGTTATAAATGGCGTTATCGGTCAATGTTCTATTGTTAATTATGTAATCCGTCTGTTTTTTTTTTATAGAAAATGTTATTATCGATCGACTTTTTTTACAGAACATTTTGTTATCGATAACAATTTGTTTGGTATATTTTGTTATCGATAATATTGTCTATAAAATATAAAATTATCGATCACACATTTTGTAGATTGCGTTCTCGTCGTTAATTGTTCCTAGCAAATGTGTTGTTATCGATAAAATTGTCTTTAACAAATATTGTTATCGATAATTTTTGTGTATAACACATAGTTTTCGATTAAATTTTCCAATGAAAATACTATTATCGAGAAAGTTTTCAAGTGAAAAAAACTATTTTCGATCATTTTTGTAGAAAACATTGTTATCGATATATTTCTCTAAACAAAATATTGATATCAATATATATTTTTAATGAAAATGCTTTTATATGCCATTTTAAATGTTGCTATCGAACAATGTTGTTATCGATCAATTTGTCGATTGTTATTGAACCCAAATACCATCTAAAATGCTGTTATCGAGCAGTTAAATTCTCTATACTACAAAATATTCTCTAGAAAATCTTGTTATCGATAAAATTTTTTGTAGAAAACTTTGTTATCGATTTATTTTTCTACTGTTTTTGAATCATTATTTTGAAGAAAAAGTTGTTATCGTTAAACTTAGCTAACATAAATATTGTTATCGATAGCATTTTCTGTAGAAAACATTGTTATCGATAATTTTTTTGTAGAGAGCATAGTTATCGATTAATTTTTCAATAGAAAATATCGGTATCGACAAAATTTTCTCTAAAATAATATTGTTATCGATATATTTTTTTTTGTAGAGAACTATTATCGAAAAAGTTTGCAATTGAAAATATTGGTATCGACAAAATTTTCTCTAGAAAATATTGTTATCGACAAATTTGTTTGTAGAAAACTTTGTTATCGATTCAATTTTTCAATGAAAATACTGTTATCGAAAAAGTTTACTATAGTAAATATTGTTATCGATAAAATTTTCCCTAGACAACATTGTTATCGATCTTTTTCTCTAAAGAAAATATTGTTATCGATCCAATTTTCTAATGAAAAAATTGTTGTCGCCCATTTTCTCCGTAGTAAATGTTGTTATCGAACACATTTAACTTAGGAATTGTTGTTATCGATTACTTTATCGATTGTTATCGAACCTAAATTCCCTCTAAAATATTGTTATCGAACAAATTCATCATTCAAAATAAAATTTTATACAAAAAATCATTTGAGAATTAATTTTTAAAATTGAATATGATTTTTATTAAATAAAATGAACATAAAGATGGGTCGAAAAATAAAAAAAAAATAATGTCAAATGCCGAAAAACTTAACAACAATTCAAAAAATTAAATAACAAATTTAAACAAATAAATTAGAGTCCCGTCGAATTTTGTTTACCATGCATTGAGTTGGGCTGGTGCGGCAGCAGCAAATTGAAATGGTTGCTGGACAAAGGAGGAGGTTTGGTAGATGGGAGTTTTGGGTGAGGCAACAACATAGGCGGCACTGGGAGCAGCGACGGTGGCGGCAGTGACATAGGCACCAGCTACTGGAGCGTTAGCCTGAGTGACATAGGTACCAGTTTGGACGGGAGCAGTTGCGGCAGTTACAAATGAAGTAGCTGGACCCGAGACATATGAGGTAGCTGGTGCGGTAACATAAGGCCCAGCAGCGGCCACATATTGACCGGTGGCACTAACATAAGCGGCATTGGGTGCTGTGACAAAAGCAGCCTTGGGAGCGGTGGCCACAAAGTTCGCCGTCAAGGGTTGTACAAAACTGAAGGCTCCAGCGGGGTAATAGGCAATGGTGGCAACATTTTGGGCGGGAGCTTGTTTTTTGCTCTCATCATCCTTCTTAGGTTCAGTTTCAATTTCCGAAGTGGTATCTTCATCATCTTCTTCGTCTTCCTCGCGATTGTCGGTGAATCGAGATGATTGGGGTTTACCTGCAGCGACTAAACGTCCTGATTGCACAGGTGTGGCATATAGGCGTTGAGGTTGTGGTTGTTTCTGTTGCAGGCGGGCTGGGATTTGTCGCAGGCGTGCAGGAGCGTCATAGAGACCATTGGGCCTTTGAACTGGAGATTGGGGTTGACCTTGTGGTTCGGAGAGTTCATTGGAGCCGGAGTTGACAGTTTGGGTTTGTACTTCGAATTGTTGTTCGGTTTCAGGTTGGGGTTGAGGTTGCTGAGGTTGACGTTCGGGGGCACCATAGGTTTGTTGGGGTGCGGTGTTGAAGGCGGGTTGAACTTGGGGGTTGTTGCTGAAGCTGGGTTGTTGTTGACCTTGGGTGTTGGAGATGAAGGTGGGTTGTTGTTGTTGAGGGTTGAAGCTGGGTTGTTGAGAGTTGGTGTTGAAGTTCGATTGCTGAGGTTGGTTGTTAAAGTTCGATTGCTGGGGTTGGTTGTTGTTAAAGGTTGCTTCCTGAGGCCTATTGTTGTTGAAGTTCGTTTGCTGAGGCTGCTGAACGGGAGCACGACCCTGCTCAGGCCTAAAACGGCTTGGAGCTCCATAGAACACCTCAGGTTGTTGGGATTCGGAAAGAATCTCAAAACCTCCATTATTGTTGTTGTTGTTGAAATTGTTGCTGCCACTTTCCTGCTTCTGGGGATGAGCGCCCAACGGGAACTGAGGCTGTTCACTGGGTATATTAAATTCCTTGGCGGGACGATAACCCGAAGCTGGATATGGTGTGGGACGACCCGATTCCAAACGTTGCAAACGAATTGTTTGCGGCCGGCTGTAACGTTGATAACCCAAATGGGAAACATCTGCGGAGGCAGTCACTGCCAAAATCAGGACACCCAATGTGAGCACCGAAGATACCATATTTTTTGTGCTGTTCGTGGGTTCGGAAAAAGAAGAAGAAGAAACAATGACTTTACAATAGTTCGAGATCTGTAATACTAATATTTAAATTCGTGGCCGATTCGATTTTATAGCAAACTTTTTTTGTATGCGATGGTCAACAACAAAGCTTTTGCGGATTACAAAAAAATAGCAGCAGCAACAACAAAATTCCGACTCAAAATCCCCTCCATCAAAATGTCGAATACAAAAATTATTATTAAAAGTTTCGGTAAAAAAAAATTCCGAATAAACAAAATTTAGAATTCAGGCTACGTCTAGCCAAAAAGACTCATTAACTGGCAGAGGGTGGCTCAGGGCATTACCCAAAACCTCTTCACCGTTGTTGTCTGCCATTCGGCAAACCTACTTAGCAAACAGTTAGTGTGAGCGAACTAACTGCATACTGGCTGGCTGGCTCGTGGGACCTCCGATTTTTTTTACATTATTGACATTGACCCCTATTGTCAGCCAGCCATCCATTCAATCCAGTCATCGTCCACAATTAGAGGTTACATCGAGCTCATCGAGCCAATAAAAAATTAGCTGTAATCATAAAAACCGATCGATATTCAGTCAGAATATCAACCACAAAAATTGTAACAATTCTCAACAGCAACAACAACAGCAACAATGTTGTTGTAATGTTCAGTTACAACTCAAACCATCCATCGTGATCAGCTAATTTGGTATTCAAACAAAGTTCGTTATCAAAATGTTGTGATTTTTGTTGGCTTTTGGCCAAACTCAAATCGAAAAAATAAATAAATTCCGAATCACGTCTCACCTAATGCCGTTCATATCTACAACAACAACAACAACAAAACCAACAACATCGACATTTGTTTTGTCACACATTTTTGTTTTAAATCGATTTTGGCAACGTCAAGTGTCAATTTGAGTGATTCACTCACTCTGAATTCTCGGGAGTTCGAACGATGTACCTACTGGCAACTTGAAAACTTATGGAGGGGCCTGGACATCAATTAATGACACTTATGTTGTTATTATTATTGTTTTTGTAGTTGTGTTGACATGCTGTCATCGATTAAAGGCCATAAAGAAATTTATGGGCTTTGTTATGGTATTTATCGATGGGATGGGATTTTAAAGGTCCACATATATTCTGTACCTTGAATGCCTACCAAATATTCAACCGAATTACCTGTAATTTGGTATTTTGGATTCTCATTGGATAGCAAATCACCCTACCAAAAATAATCAATATTGGTCCACTTTTAAGGGTAGCCCCCATACAAGGGTACCTCCGATTTTCAATATTTTCGGGATTTTAGGTACCGTTTTTCAACCAAATTGACTGTAACTTGGGGTTTTGGGTTTTCATTAGGCGTAAAATCTTCTCACCGAAATTTATCGACATTCGTCCCCTTTTAGGTATAGTCCGCATTTACCGGCACCTCCGATTTTCGATATTTTGGGGATTTTAGGCACCTTTTTTTCAACCAAATTGACTGTAACTTGGGATTTTGGGTTTTCATTAGGTGTAAAATCTTCCCACCAAAAATTATCGACATTGGTCCCCTTTTAGGTATAGTCCGCATTTACCGGCACCTCCGATTTTCGATATTTTGATGATTTTAGGCGCCCTTTTCAACCGAATTGGCTGTAATTTGATATTGTGGGTTCTCTTTAGGTGACACATCATCCTACCAAAATGTATCAATATCGGTCCACGTTTAGACATAGGCCCTATATAACCGTACTCCTAAATTTGCGGTATTGGTAGACTTTTGGGCCTGTTTTTCAACCGATTAGGCACAACTTTGATATCTTGGATTCCTAATAGGTTGAAAATCATTCTACCAAAAATTATCAATATCGGTCCATATATATAGTATATAGTCCATATATAGTGTATAGTTCCTTTATAAGGATATCCCCCGATTTTCGGGTTTTTGGGGAGTTTGAACACGATTTGCAACCGAATTGGCTGTAAATTGGTATTTTGGATTCTCATTGGGTGATACATCATCCTATCAAAAATTAGGAATATTGGTTCTCTTTTGGATATGGGCCCCATAAAACGATACCTCTGATGTTCGGTATTTTGGGGATTTTTGACCCTCTTTTCCAACGAATTAGCTTTAAATTGGTATTTTTGCCACCAAAAATGATCAACATCAGTCCAATTTTAGGTATAGGTCCCATATAACGTTACCTTCTGATTTTCGATAATTTATGAATTTCGGACTCGTTTTTTCAACCGAATTGCGTGTAATTTGCTATGATGGGTTCTCATTGAGTACCAAATCTCTCTACCAAAAATTAGCAATATCGATCCACTTTTAGGTATAGGTCCCATATAAAGGTAACCCCGATTTTCGATATTTTGGGGACATTTTTCAACCTATTTGGCTGTAATTTAGAATTTTGGATTCTCACTGGGTAGTAAACCTCCCTACCAAAAATTATCAATATCGGTCCATGTTTAGGTATAGGTCCCATATAAAAGTAACCCTGGTTTTCGATGTTTTCGGGATTTTTGACCCGGTTCTTCAATCGAGTTGGCTATAATTTTATATTTTGGATCACTTTTAGGTATAGTCTTCATAAGGAAGTAACTCCTAAATTTCGATATTTTGGGGATTTTTGTACCGAGTTTCCACAGAATTGGCTGTAATTATACCATTCACCATACTGTGGTACAGGGTACTCTGTGCATATGTTTGTAACAGGCAAAAGGAATCGAGACAGATTCATGGTTCCATTTGAGAATATGCATAGAATCACTTTCTGAGTCGATTTACTCACGTCGCATTTATGATCCGATTTGGATGAAATTTGGCACAGTTCACTTATTTGGTCCAAGGACGAACCCTATTGAAATTGGAGAAAATCGGTTCAGATTTAGATATAGCTCCCGTATATAGTTTCGTTCGATTTTTGGTGAATGATACACCAAACTCGCAATATTTGTCCGATTGGGACAAAATTTTGCACAGAGTACTGATTTAGGTCCAGACTTATGTCTGCGAAGTTTTGTTAAAATCGGTTCATATATATAGGGACGCACGCACGGGGGGCGGCCCAGGGGGCCAGGGCATCGATGCATTTTAGTTACAATATAATTGTCATTGATTAATTTTACTCACAAAATTATCGCCAGAAAATCTTCTTATCTATTGATTTCCCTTAATCATATCTACCGCTTCCTCTTTTCTTTGAACTTATTAATTATGGGCTAATTGCCACGATTTCCAGAATTTCGCTAGAATTTCGTGTTCGATGGCAAGGAAATCTCAGTGTCTGCATGACACGAGTGGGGACATTAATTTCCACACATTTCCTCCATATGTCAAAATACATGCTGCGAACATGTCATGACCATCATCGGGTTTCTTTTTGCATTAATCAAAAACCTCTTCATCATCATACGCGTCCGCGTTGTTCATCCTCTTCGTCGTAAGCTCCTCATGGCTAAGCGTAGTGTAATGCCGCTTGTTATCGCCGGCCAAAACATGAACACATTTAATTGGAATCCAATTGTAGAAATGGTCATTAATATGCTAATGAGTCGGTGTAGTCAGTCGGTACTCCACTCCATTCTGGCCAAAACGCGATTACAATCATCCAGAATAGATAAAACGAACTGCGAACCAAAAACTACAACAACAACAAACAGTCGTCACTTAAATGAAGAAACGCATTTGCTCTAATGCCGACTGCAACAACAACACCAGTAATGCCACCGATATGAAGCTATTAACTTGAAAGCCACAACTTCGATGACACCCCGACGTCTCACCCAACCTCGTCTCGATGCTTTTCTGCTTGGTGGCTCAAATGAGTGGCAGTCATGTGGTTGCGAATTTTTACAAAATGTTCGTTACCACCACATTCAACAGGCGGGTGTCTTTGGTTTGCGTTCCCCCCTCACCCCGCTCCGATTCCCCTACTGTGGGCCTGTGGCTGGCGGCTAATACAATAGGACCACAGTTCGCATTTAACCACTTTGCCACTAATCCATGGCCGCCAATTCAAGTAAACGGCAATAACAAAAGTCACGCTTATGCCACACGACATTCTATCACAGAGGCACAGACACACGCTCACCCGATCGGAACGCAGCTTTATGTGTGGTGTGGTGACCACAAATACCGCATCACACACTAAAAACACACACACGCTCCATGCAACCTGATAGTCAGGCCCATCCATGGAAGAGGAAACCTCAGGAGGTGCAGGGCAGACCTGCCTCTGTCATTTGCTAGAAAAAAATAATGAATGCAACAATGGTAACTAACTAACATTAATCGAAAGCATTATGTTCGGCTTATATCCTGTTACGCATGTTATGGCCATAACGTCAACTAAGCGAGCGAGGCACCGACCGATCAACCAGCCAGCTAGCCTACCGTACGGCCGACCAACCAGTGAACCACCATCATATCTTCGAGCTTAGAGAATTGTAATGCATGTCTTGGGCAACAAGTCCACACATGTTTGGTTGTTTGATCTGCACTTCGTCAACACTGAAGAAACCTTTCCCGTCCTCCCGCTGCCTCTCTTCTCTCTCTTTTGCCTGAAAAGGGGGTTCCTATCTCCACTTTACAGCATGCCACGCCTCAGCCACATTGCAATCCACCAGCTAGCCGACCATCAAACCAACCATCCATCCATGCATGCAATGGTCGGTCCTCAAGTCACCAGTCAGCCAGCCATCCGAACCATACCTAGCCACTAAATCCATTTGACCATGCGCATTGCAATGGAATTGGTCGTAACTTGTCGCTTTTTAAAAAACGTTGGCTATTTGTAATTTGACTCTCGAGTCGACATATCGAATAGACATAGGGAAAAATCTACGCATGTGTCGAATGTTATAGTCGTCTCGTGGGGTGGGTATCGCATGATGATCTCAAATACGGTGTCCGCATAACAGGGGGCAAATGCAGCATATTGGGAGACAGTGGTGCAAGGTGTCGCGGAATATTGTCTTTTGGGAAATGTTTTTATATCGA